TTTTTTTTTTTTTTTTTTTTTTTTTTTTTTTTGTACCAGGGATTGAACTGGGTCCTTGTGCTTGCAAGGCAGGCGCCAGAACCACTGAACTAAATCCCCGGCCCGGTATTTTTTGAATTCTATACATTCAGCCTTGTGTAGGATAAAAATATTTATATATACCTTTCATTTATCTAAACACTGTTCATTTGTGTTCTAGGATGGCTACTTTGCTTAGCAAGTTCCGAATAGACTTTTCCGATATAATGGTCCTCGGAGATATCAATACCAAACCAAAGAAAGAAAAGTAAGTTATTGGATAAACTCTCTACAAATTTTGAACCCTTTTATAGATGGCCTTACACAGATACTTGAACTTAATGACTTGAAGTTTTTTTTCCCTGCTTTAATAGGAAACCAAATGTAGTTGATTCTCTGATAGTAGATGTTGAAGTAAGTGTCTTTGTTATAGTAAGACTTTGGATCCAAAAATTCTAAAATGACTGCCTGTCCTTTCCTCTCTTCAAAGTATTCTCCTCCATTTTCTTACAGTACTTTTATTCTTTGGTACTTGAGTTATGAAAAGTTTGGGGATTTTGAGGAAAAGAAGGCCTTGGCACACTCGGCGAGTACTCTTCCCCTGAGCTACGCCCCCAGACCACACAGTTTGACTTTCTGTTAAAAGGATCGTTTCGGGTACTGTGCGACAGTTTAGTTAGAGAAGAGGTGGCCACAGGAACGAAGGGGAAATCAGCTGTAGTTTCCATCTCACAGGCTTGTGGCTCTGAGTTTCCGAGTTCCGCTGACCACAGATGGCTTTCTCTAGATAAATTAGCGAAGTGACTGCTGTAGCTGTGTGGAGGAGCACATAGCGGACAAGAAGCACTGACTTCCTTGGGATTCAGTTTAAGATTTTTCTGTTATGTAATCAGTTGCTGACAACTAACTTGTTATATAACCAGTTAATAACAGTTAACTCAAAGTTAATTGTCAGTGTCCTTTCTCTCAAGCATTGTGGCTTTTGATGAGATGATTGAGCCATACAGACTTCATGAAGATGACAAAGAACAAGACCTTGCAGATAAAACGAAAGAAGATGAGCCGTGGCGGATAACAGATAACGAGCTCGAACTTTATAAGACCAAGGTATTTCCATTTCCTTTACATTAAACTTCCTTGTGCTTTGAAAAAAAGACAACACAAAATTTCCAAAGACAAATTTGATGTGGGAGAAACCACTTATGTAAATTAAGTCAAATTTAAATTGAATCTGTATGTGAATGATGGAAAGCATCAGTTTTTTTCTAAATAAAGATCAGATACATGTTTTTGTTTATTTTTTTCTGCCAAAATGTGTTGTGTTTTGATTTATGACCTATGCTAGGTGTTTGCCTGATGCTGGAGGTGAGGCCAGGGCTTTGCAAGAGCTGTTCATGCACTGTACCACTGTGCTACATCCCAGCCCCAAATTATACTAAATTCTAATTTTCAAATAGTCTGGGAATGATTTTTGACTTGTTTTCATTTCAGACATACCGGCAGATCAGATTAAATGAGTTATTAAAGGAACATTCAAGCACAGCAAATATTATTGTCATGTAAGTACTATGTGTATTAAGATTTCCTTGGCTATTCATTTTATAATATGCACTGTACTTCTGATTAATTTCTTTTCCAGGTACTTGTCTATATAACACTCATTAATGACTTAATGATTTATAAAAAGGATAAAACAAACTTTGTTGAATATACTTTGCTTTAAGCATATGGAAAAATCATTTAAGTTGGGAGAAAAGAAAAACCCTTTTAAGCTTATATAAATCTAATCAATTGTTTATCATAATAGGTTAGGCTAGATTTTATTTTTTCCCTTATTCTCACTTTTTCAAAATTTCTTAGCCTTGTCATGAATCGTGTGGGATGGGGGGACCCACATTAAAATTAGACCACAGATAGCTTCCTCATGAAAATAACCCCATAAAGTCATTTAGCGGAATAAATTGGAACAGCATTCCTGCCTGAATCCCCATCAGCAGATCGTTTCATATAGACCACGTGTCCTTGAACAGAAGATAAATGCTAATGCCTGTTTTTGCCTGTTCTCTGCTGAAGTAGGTTAACTAGGTATTACTTGAACCAAATGTTTTTCAGTCCTTGGGCCTGTGACCTTATATAGGTAAGGAAAGCTCAGACCTTCAGAAACTTTCAAATGACGAAAAAGGTGTACCAAAGAACTGTTAGCTCAGTTAACAAATACTTAGCTGTTCTGTTAGGTTTCTTGCTTTGCTGTTAAATGATCAAGTACGTACACTGGAAGGTGCTAACGCATAGAAATGTAGAGAAAAACCTCAGAGGTTAGCTGGTCTCTAGTGTGTGATCTATAAATAGAAGTTAAAGTTCACAAAAATAAGATAAAACTTAATATCATTTATCTTAGCTTCTGTTTTCCAAATTCTGACACAAATATCCTTTTGTCCTAAAAGAATTCTATCTTGCCTTGTGGAGGAAGGGGAAGATTGAAATTTAGTTGTAGTTGTAGTTTTTTTGTATCACAGTTTATAGAAATAGTTGTTTGCTATTCTTAATGAACAAATGTTTAAAAATCTTCTGTTTTAATCTGAAGACGTTGGACATGTTTTCATGAGTGACAGGAGAATATAGTAGGTGGTGTTCTAAATGCAGAATTTCCCTCTCAGAAGTATTCCGCAATATAGTAATTTCTAGGCACACTTATTATGATTCAGTTTATAGTTCTTGTTATGTTTCCTCTCACTTTAAAGACATTGTTCGGTGTCCTTTCTCTTTTTGATCCCAGGAGTCTCCCAGTTGCTCGGAAGGGTGCTGTGTCTAGTGCTCTCTACATGGCATGGTTAGAAGCTCTGTCTAAGGACCTGCCGCCAGTCCTCCTGGTTCGTGGGAACCATCAGAGTGTCCTTACCTTCTATTCTTAAATGTTCTACACAGCAGACTGCCCTCCAGAATGGTACTTCAGTGCCTAGTGAAGTGACTGAAATCTTCAGTGACATGTTAACGTTACTGTGGCGAACTGTGACTTTTCTTTCACTGTTTCGTTAATTTGAAAGCACACAGGAAAGCTGTTCCATCGTTATGTGTATGGAGACTTCAGTTCTAGTCAATTCCATATCTCAGTTTTTATGAATGATGATTCTGTCTTGTTGGACTGAAGTTCATAAGAGTAAAGTTTTCTTTTGCTACTTGAATAGCAATAAAAGTGTGTGATTTTTTTGATTAATGAAGAGTACAAAAAGCCTTTAGCCTTGGGTGCCTTCTGAAACTAACCAAATTTCATCCATATATCCTTTTATAAATTTGTAGAATGTCAAACTTTGCCTTCAGATATTTTATTTCTAGTCTCTTTCACTGTAAAATGGACCTTGCTTTTCAGCTTTGGTTGAATTAGTGTTGAATACTGTATGTTTTCTATGTTTTGTAAAAGTATCTGTTAGGTATAAAAGGTGAAAATTGGGGTGGGCTAATGAAAAGTGGGGTAAACGGAGAGGAGGGATAACCAGAACGTGAACCCCAAGGTTTGGTTTGTATGAGTCTGTGTTAATATAGAACTAGGAAAGAAAAGGCCCAAGATACCTTTTTAAACTCCCATTTGTCTATTCTGGGTTTATTTTTTGAAACAGTAGAGAAGGTTGAAAATTTACCCAGTATTTCTATTACTGTGCTAAAAAACCACGTCGTTCTTTAAATTAAAATTCTCAAGATCATTTGTATTTATTTTAAGAGATATTTATCCTAATTTGGAATTTCCCTCAAATTTGAGGGACTTTTAAGAAATGCTAGCAGATTTACCTGGAGGAAATTTAGACAAAGCAATGTTATTTAGTAGAATATTTAAATAAACACTATGTGGAATTTCAGTATACTATACCATTCTTTATAAATCATTAAAGTGATGTTTCATCAAACGGTTAAATGGACCACTGGTTTCTTAGTGAAATGTTTTTAGGCTTAATTCATTCAATTGTCAAGTACACTTAGTCTTAATACACTCAGGTCTGAACAGATTATTCTGAACATTGAAATTTAATCCATTCTTAATACTTTAAGATTTGTGTTAAGAAAAACTGCCAGTTTATGTGTTTAAAATGTCTGTTTTTGACATCTTAGTCTACTAGTAGCATTTTGACAGTGCATATGTACTGTTACCAAAAGCTTTATATGCAGTTATTAATGTGAAGTTTTTCATTTTTATTTAAGGACTTCCTAAAAACATTTCAAGGGATTTACATCTACATATCTGTACATGTGTATATGTATGTACAGATGCAGGTATGTGTATGTAATGAAATTTATGTTGCTAATATTTTGCTTAAAGTGATCATGGTTTGTTACTTTTTTTGTTTTAGTAAACATGTTCAAAATCAGATCAACAGGTTATGAGTTTCATGGAGAGCAAAGGCAATCCTTTGAAGGCCATAGTATAACTTCCATAACTATCATCCGGTTACAAAATGAAGAGCATTTCATCTGACATCCTTGTCGATGGACTCATTGATAAGTTTCAGTCATGGAGAATTATACGGGTTCTCATGATTCTTGATAGAAATCTATAAAAACTATTTTCAGTGTTGCAGTAGTTTTGCTGTGCGAATATAAATTGGAGATATGCTCATTTGAGTTCAGAATATTAAAGTGAAGTAATCGATTTTTCTAAATTTTTTCCTGCATTATAACTCAGCATTGTTCCATTTTGTTACAACAAATTTTGCATTGTTTAGGGGGAAAGAATAGAAATTCATTCACTAAACAATATCATGTGTGAACTTTTTAAAGGGTTAGTAGGGCATGGACTGAGTGCTGCTATCTTGAAATGTGCACAGGTACACTTCCTTTTTTAATTTAAAAGGTTTTTTTTTTTTTCTATTCAGGAAAACATCATTGTGATCTGTACTAAAGGAACCAAATGTTGTGCATCATACATGTGTGTATAAAGTACATAAAATATATATCTAAATATGCATAATGCAGGGAGGGTAATATTGTCTGTGAAATAATGTAAGAAACTTTTCACTTTTTAAAAAAATTCATTACTTTTACTTAACGCTAGACATCAGGTCAAATTTTCAAGGTTGTTTTAGTGCTCTAAAAATTTTAACAATTCCTAAAGATGCTAGCTGGTGTTGAAGCTATTCATTCAACTTTATGCATAATTTGATTATTTTAATGCCAAGTTTTTAATTCTAATCATTGGTGATAACTTGGAAATAAATAATTACACAGTGACATTTGAGTTCTTTATTCCTATAGGTGAGAATTCATGGGTTTAGTGAGAATGTTAGTGTTAAGCTGGTTAACAGTTAATTAAATCAGATATTTATTTGTTACATTGTTTCCTTTATATTTTAGGTTCCTGTTTTTACATTGCTTTCTGGCATTACATTTTTTTTAAGTCTGTGGAAATAATTTAAAGATTTGAGCGCTGGTGGATGGTTATCTACTAAATTTGAAAATGTAATATTTTGATAATACTGTACTATAACTGTCACAGAGATGCTTTTTTAATGTTTTAACCTTGAGTATTGCAGTTGTTGCTTTGTACAGAGTTTACTGCAATAAAGCAAGTGCGTTCATTAAAACTATTTAATGTCTACTCTTGTATTTTAACCTATTACGAGTCTTAAGTCAGCTTTGTGTTTTCATCTCATTTGTGTAACTGTTCTTTCATGAACGTCTGTATTTTTTTAATGGCTTTAGCTTAATATCCATGCCTCTGAAGTTATTTGAAATTGTTCCCTATCCCTGAGCCTTAGGAATAATTACTGTTGATGCTGACTGTAACGTATAGCTCATTCTGACTTTTTAAAGATAACTCATCTTCTCTAATTCTGCTTTATTTGGGGGGGCCAAATCCTTCTTTATGAACAAGGAAACTAAAAGATTAAAAGGGATTCATAGGCCTTGAACTTAATCTGATTTGTTTTCTTCCTAAGATTTTCACTAAGCTGATTTACAGTTTTATGAAACATTTTTCCTTTCTCATTTAAATCCTGGTAGGTGTGTTACAGAACAGTTACTTATCTCCTTTTCTTCTAAGAAAGCAGCTTGGAGCCCTTTGGGGAGTTTCCCAAGGTCATGGTACATGAGAGAAGGATGTTGGCCTAGAGCCCAGGTCTTTGATTTCCAGGCTTTCTCCCAGTGGTGCCTGTTCTGTGAGGTAGATCTATGAGGTATCCGGAACCAAATGTAATGTCCATTATATGAGCTTTGTTTTATTCTGAAGTAATTTACTATTCAGCCCAGTTTATTCACTGCCTTGGGAACCTAAAAGAATTCCGAGACAACAGGAATGTGACATTTCCTGATTTCAGACCACCCAACAGATTTCAAAACAGAAGTATAATTCATCTTTGAACAAGCAGGTTTTTGTTGTTATTCATTCACCAGGAAGAAAGCAAATAAGTGCATTTGATAAGCTTCCCACTTTATGTTTATGAATCAACAGGATGCTTTTAGGCTCTAAAGAAACAGGTGGTGACGTTGATTGGGTCAGAAGGTCCTAGTCCCAGGATAAGCTCGGGGTCCTAGATCCCTTTTAATTATGTGACAGGCATTTCAAATAGTCTATTAAATGGGAGCATTAGAACTTCAGCCCATTTAATTTTGAGTTAGACAAAGCAAGACAAACTATTTTAGAGAAAAGAGTATGCCTCTGAATTTATCATTTCTTATTATACAGCCTTACATCTGGCCACTGACCCTACTGATCAGGAACCCATTCCCCAAAATAAGTGTCTTGCCAAAACATTGTCTGCACTATTTGTATGTGAGTACAAATTACCAATATAGCTAACTTGTAGCAAATATAAAAGTAAACAAACTTTGATCCCTGAAATAGAAGCTGTGATGTGTGAATATTGGATATTAAAATCTAACTCAATACCTACCAGAATTTCATTAAAATACTGCTGAAGACTTTGAGTTAGAGAATTGTTGAAATTTTTGTCCTGAAAGTCTTAGTCTCAAGAAGAGAAGCACTTTATAGGGTAACTATATTCACCTCTGATATATCTAACAACACACAGCCACCATTTTAGTATCCATATTTTATAATTACATAGGTATAACAACATGTAAGTTATGAATATATTTGCTTTTTTACATTTTAAATTAAGCACCAAACAATCCATTTTTATTTGTTTGTTTTTCTGATTTTGTTGTTGTTTTTTGAGATGGTCTCACTATGTAGTTGAGACTGACCTGGAACTCACTATGTAGCCCAGGATGGTCTTGAACTCACAGCAATCCTCCTGCCTCAGCCTCCTGAGTGCTGGGATTATAGGCGTGCACCACTACACCCAGCTACCAATCCATTTTTAAAGAAGGTAGTCCTAATCTGTAAAGGAGCAATCCATGGGAGTTTTCCTCAACCCATAAGCAACAGGTTATTTACATCTACAGGTTTTGCTTAAATCACGAAACCTTGAGTTCCTGAAAAATATGACTAAGAAATTTAGAAGATAAAGACAAATTAGGTATGGGAGGAGGCTGGTGAGATGGAACTTTAAACTCCAAGAAGAGGTTTGTTAATCATGAGACGATTTGTCTTTTTATATTTGAGTTCCACGATCATACCATATTTCCTTTTGGGAAATAATTACGAAGAATGGAAGTGACTTTTTTCTCTGAATTTTGAAAACTCTGGTGAACTGGTTAGCATTTCTTACTATGTACGTGGTCCTAGTTCCTGAACGGCAGCCTATGTCTTCCCTGCTGTGGCCATTTCTCTTCATGGTTTCTGTCAGTAAAGCTAATCCTTTGTTTGCTTTCCATGCACCTGTGAGTTTAGCATTATTGACATAAATTTCACACTTGGGTTTTTTCAGAAAATTTATAAAAAACCACAGGTGTGTTATGTATTGAAACATTGGAGCAGTGGTTTTTAAACTTTAGTGTATGTCAACATGCGCTGGAGGGCTTATTTAAAACAGGGTGGGCCCTGTAGCGCAGGGGCGGAACTCAGTATGTGTGAGGCCTGTTTATTCCTGCCACATAATCTGCGTTTGGAGTGGAAGTCTCTTCACATGTTCTGCTTCTTAGAACTCTGTCTCTCTCTGGGATTGTTTTTATCTATTCTTCCCTGTTATCCTTGAATTTCTTTTTCCTTATACTGTCTGGGAATTTAGAGCACCTCTCAGTCAGTTGTTGAGACGCAGTACCCCAGGGCAAGCAACTTAATGGAGGAGGTTTATTTTGGCTCACAGTTTCAAGGTCTGGGTCCACGCAGGACCCGCCAACTCCAGAGAAAAAATGGAAAAATGGCGTGATGGAAGAGGCTGCAGACGAAAGCCTCACATCGTGGAAGCCAGGGAGCAGTGAGGGAAAGAGCTAGGGAAGTGGAGGTGGACCCTTCCAGGTCACGATGGACCGTGACCCACCTCTTTTCTTTTTTTTTTTTTTTTTTTCGCTCTTTTTTTTTTTTTTTTTTTTTTTGTTACCGGGAATCAAACTTGGGCCCTTGCACTTGAGAGGCAGGCGGCGGAACCACTGAGCCAACTCCGGGCCCAGACCCACCTCTTCTAGTCAGACCCCACCTCCTAGCAGCACATGTAGCTGTGG